TTATATAAAAACTATAAGTGCTGAGCAAGTTGCCAAAAAGCTTGGTTGTGCCTCAACAACAATTTGAAGGTTTTTAACCAAGTACAAAAGAACCAAAAAAATTGCAAATTTATCTTAGTTCAGATGTTTTTCTGCTTTAAAAAAGTGAAAAAAAACCACTATAGTAAAAAAAGCATTAAGGAAAGACATATGCCTCTGCTCAAAATTGTTAAGAATTTAAACCTTCAATGTAGTATACAAACCTTAGCTAGGACCTTGAATAATACTGGGCTTCATTCTTGTATCACTATCTTAAAACCTTTTTTGTTACAAGACAATATAGACAGACATATAATATAGTGCAAACAACATATAAACAAGGATGTTTACTATTGGAGGTATATCATTTTTTCAGATAAAATAAGTATAAAGATAGATAAACAATCACACCAAGTTTGAGTATGATATTGTGCAGATAAAAGATACAAATATAAGTGTTTGTAATCAAATTTTAGAAGTGAGAGGATCTTAGTAGTGGTTTAGTTATGTTATATTAATACTATTAAAGGTCTCTTAGTTTTTTTGATAATTACAAAGAACCCAAATAAAAATTAATAAAAATATTTATACCAAGGTTCTAAATAATCACTTTGTACTATTTATAGCTGCTGCTTATTGGTTATTTGACTCCTCTCTAATTTTTCAGCATAATAATACTCCAGTTTATAAGGCATTGGATTGGTTTAATTTTAAAAAAATCAATTATATAAATTGACCTTCATGATCTCCCAATCTTAACCCCATAAAAAATATTTGAAAGATCATAAAGGACAAAATTCAGAACCAAGAAGACTTTTTAAGAGATAAACCTGCATTTAAAGTGGCCTTAAAAGAAATGTGATTAAATTTAGATACATTGGTTCTTCATGTAATTTCAGATTCAATGATACAAAGAATCAAGGCTATCACAGGTGTAAAAGGTTACTCTTGCAAGTATTAAACAAATAAAAAAAATTGATATATGTGTGACCAAAAATTAATAAATAAAAATTTTATATTTTGGCAAAAATTAGGTGTTACTTTTGTTGGCTACTTACAAAATTTATTTAATTATTTTAGTTTTTTAAAAAAATAAATTAAAACTAAAAAAAATACAAAAATGCAGGCAAATTTGCCTGTGTTCTATTACAATCTAAGAAATAAGTATTCTTAAAAACAACTAAAAAATGTTACTAATATAGTTTAGAAACAATATTATTATTTGTAGCAATAAAGATTATTAATAAAATAAGTAATATAACTGCCAAAGTAAAAAATAAATAAATAAATAAATTAACTAATTAATATAACTACTATAAATATAATTGGTTGTTTGATGGACTAGAAATTAAATATATTCAACCAACAAATTTAGTTATTTGAGTTTAAGTCTGGTCTGAATCTGATCTGAGTTCAACTCTAAATAACAATACTGCTTATAAATAATAACAGTGTTTTATGACTAATATAAAATTTAATATATCAACTCATTTGATTTATAAGTAATAGTAATAGAAGCCTCTATATATGAACATGTTCTGTCTTTAGATGAAAGCCACTGATATATATGTCGTGTGTCAGAATGTATATTTAGAATCCAAGTTGATACGAAATTTGAAAACAACTTGAGTTGATTCTAAATTTGATACTGTATAATTAATAAAATTTAATAGCAACTTAACAGTCACACAATTTGTCACTTCAGAATTTTTATCATATGATTTTCATAAATTACACAAATCAACAAAATTATATTTTTAAAATTTTTAATAAAATCTTATTCAAAGTATACTATACGCTTTAACACAAAATCGTTTTCGAAGCTTTAACGAATCAAACAATATAAAAAATATAAAAAATATCCTTTTTGTTGTAAAATAATATGTCTTCGAATATAGGCAATTATTTTATATATTGTTGCTAGATTCTTTTCAAGCTTACAAGTTTTTTATGAAAAAAGTGATTTACTAGGTACATTCGAACGAGAACTTTTGGCAAAATGCATCTTCGAAATGCAGATGCATTATAAGCATAGTGGAGAAATTAGAAAAAACTATTTTATAATAAATAGATTACTTATTAATTCGGGTATAGATCGTTTCAGCATTTAGTTTGGTCTTTTTAGTCTTTATTTTTACTTGTAAAAGTTTTTCTTAAAATGTTTTTACCTTTCATTATATACCTTAGACATGGACATAAGCAGAAACAAGAATTGGTTACTGTACAACTTTCTAAAAGCCATTTTTCTTAAAGAATATAATACTGACTAAGTTAGCTTAAGCTAACCCTAACCTAATGTCAGCTAACTTTATCAATACTATATTCTTTTGGGAAATGGCTTTTGGGAACTAGAGTTGTATTGACAAGAATATGGTATGAATTGGTGCAAGTATAGACATGATCAAAAATTTAGACAAATTTGTAAGTACGAGTATAAAATGCCAGACACGAGTTAGCACTTTAGTGCCCATACCAATGGCCAATGCATACAGTATTTAGGATCTTATTCAAGACCTTCATTTTAAAAATTGAGTAGTACCAGGTATTATTCATGAATCCAGCAATCCTATTGATGGAGAAGAGTACTTAATGTGGTAGAATGCTATTTTCGGGAGATGCTGTATGCAGTGGCTAACGGCAATAGTGTCTAGTGCTTTTGTAACTATAGCACAGATATAGTGCTTTTGTAACTATAGCACAGACACGGCACAAGGCACTAGTGTCTGGTAAATTTTAATTTGAAAAGATAGTATGGAAGTATAGTAAGAACCTGAGAATAAATCAGTTATTATCCACGAAGTAGACATAACTAAAATCGATCCCAAATCTGACGATCGAATAATAACAAAATAGCACACTAGTAGATATTTGTAGACTCCTAATTCTGAGACTTGTTTAATAAATAAATATTTTTTTATTAAAAATTTAATATATTTTTTATTATAAAAAAAAATGGAGATATTTTAAATATAAGACCAAAATTTTTTAATTATATGTAAATTAAATAATTATTCACTTGCAGATCCATCATTTTCAGATTGATCATTTTTTCGCTTTCTCTTTTGAATTTTTTGTCATTGTTTAAAATTTGTTACAGTATCTTTAACTAAATTTTTACTTGCTCTTTCTTTTGAATTTTTCTTTTTAGTTAAATAGACTTCTTGTGCAAGTAGATCTTGCATACGTTCTATTCCGTGTTGATAACAAGTTTCTATATTAGAGTATCCTTTCAAAGTATTTTGCGTTGTATATTCAAAAAGCGAATGACTATTAGGGTCTGGATTTTGAAATGCAGCATATATTTGATCACTTAAAGTCCACAATTGTTTACATCAATCTGGTGCTGAATGGTCATCAATATTTATTACAGTATCAATAAATTCGTCAAGAACTAATAATCGTTCGATTTCGTCTTGACTTCCTTTTATTTGTCGATGTAAGTTTTCATCATCTCCAGACTTTCTTGTCATTACTTGTTTAACAAACTTAACACCATATGTTTTTAATGCTTCATCGTATACTAGATAATGTTCTTCACGTGTGATATTGATAGATGGTACTTGATTTAATCTTTTTTGAAGTTGAGAATTTTTATGCAATCTTTCTAAAAAAATAGCAACTGACTCTGCATATCTAAACTTTCCAGTAACTGGAAAAAGAGGCGCAAATGCAGCAAGATATGCAATTTGCAAGTCAAAATTTCCTTTTCAGATACCAATTTTGTGTACTTTCCAATACCCAGCCCACTGGTAATAATTAAACCAGACTTTTAAAATATTGTTAGAACTGTTTTTAATATTATTAATATTCATTTTGGTATTTTGTAGATAATGATGAATCGCAATTCCAGTTGCCGCCCAGATTAATTCAAGAACTGTACAAGTTGCACGATAATCTGAACCTTTTTCTAAATTTTTCAAATATCAAACACCAAGTAATACCGCCAGGATAAAAATTCCATATCCAGAGAAAGCCGTAATCAAAACCTGGCACATGTCTTTTGAAGTATGCCATTGTTCAAGAATAGTATTAGCAGTAAGGTTTTCATTTTCGTAATTTTTAAGCCTTCGAAAAATAGCTTTATCATATGCAATATCGATCGTGGTAGCTTCTGCGTTTGCCACATCGTTCAAAAACATATCACATGTTTTATATACATTCTTATTAGAATTTGGCGCTGGTCTAGGTTCTAAAATTATTATCTTCGGCTTATCAAACTTGCATCCAACTTGAATATTTTTAATAACTTTTAGGTGAATATCATTAATATCAAAATTATTTATTTTTTCTAAAAGTAATTGTTCAAAAATTCTATCATAATTTCTGTTTAGGTTTTCTGTAATTGTTGATAATCCAATTATAACTTGATCTAATTGTTCAGAGAAAAAGATTGGAGTTAGTTGCAAGCTTGAAGGAAGCATAAACTGAAATGCAATTCGAAGAGTAACATGTGCAGTTTTTCGTGCAATGTTATAAATATTGCCATACATAAATGTTTTTTCTTTTATATCGATATTATCAATAACTAACAGGTTGTAAATATTATTTCCAATTTCAAGTCTGTTGGCAGGATTAGAAAATTCCATACGCCATCTTTCTGTATGAACTTCGTGGTCTTAGATATAAGAAATAATATGTGCGGAATGAAGAATTTTATAAAGTTTTGAAATCATATGCGAACATCTACAAAGTGAGCCCAAAATATGAAGTAACCAAATTTTTTATTTACGAAAAGCAATTCCTATTATGATTGATACTAAGAAAATCGTAATTTTGTTAACTGATGCTAGATCTAATGGAATTGATGGTAACTCGCGAGATTTTCTTTGTCGTTCTGCGATCGCATATTTTTTTTGAAAAAAAACTGTAATAAGGCCGCTAAAAAAAGACCACAAGGTTCAGGGCAATGCTGCAGCATATTGTTCAAGAGATTGTAGATTTTCTAAGATTGATAAATTGTTTTTAAGCACTATGCACGATTGCTATAAGGATTCTCCAAGAAGATTTCCACAGTATGTATATTCTTTTTCTTTTAAAAATGCAGCTTTTGCTTTAGTACTTAAATCTATTTTTGCTAATTTAAATGCTATTTGAATCATTAAAAAAGTTGGCAGAACTAGTTTATCAAAATCATCTACTTTGCTATAAATCAAATCTTTTGGCAAACATGGTTTTAATGTCTCAATTGCCGGCAATAATGACCAAATAAGTTGCTTTTTTTGTAATTTATTATCTGATTTTGCTACTAATTGAATCCAATTTCCAAATTTTTCTAGAATTGCAGATAAATCATCATGCTTATTATCGCAACCAAACTCTGGAACCCCTCTACCTAACCTTTGATGTAAATGACTACCGTTAGAATCAAAACACGCTGAGCAAATGTATAAGGACCGTGTGTTATTTGTTGATTGAATAGAAATTAAAAGACAAGGTTGCAATGCTTCACATGTTCGTAACCCTAAGCACGGAACTCTAATATTGCGTCTGCATACTGTCTATGAATGAATAGAACATCCCTGACCATGCATAAAAAAAGTTTTATATTTATTACAGAACATGTACCGTGTATGGTAGAGAGTACTTTGGTCTGTTCCTAATGGTTGAATGTTCTTATAATGTAGTTGATTTTGATCAAAAAGAAAATGCCGATAACAGATACCAATTTCATCTAGCTTTTCATTCCATTGCTTAATAGTATCATGATCAACTTTCCAAGTGCCTTTGAGTTGAGCAAGGGGCCGGTTAGGACCTCCTTCATTAATTCTGTTACATCGTCATATTTGTTTTTCATCATTGTCATTATCTATAATGACACAAGATGTGTATTTATTGCCTTTTACAGATTGACTTAATAAAATTTTGTCAACTTCTTCATTAAACTCAGATAATGTACTTTCTTCTGTCACATTATTAAGATCATAATCTTCGTTGTCATTATCACTATTTTGCTGCAAAATCTTATTCTTAACGTCTTGGTATGTATCAATATCGAAATTAAGAATAGGAAAGTTTTCTATTTCGGTAACAGATTCACTGTCAGAATTGCTAGAATACTGAACAGAGTAACTTTCATCATAATTAATGTTTTCCATCTGATTAGAGGGTTTATAATTATGGCTTGTAATAACGGGTTAAGATTTTTTTTTTATAAGCAAGTATATCAATAAATTTATTCGATTATAAAATTTAAATGCAGTAATTATAATTTTGATTATTTAAATAAATTTAATTACAAAAAATTTCGGATCAAAAAAGTTCAATTTATATATTTTTTTATTATTACGATTACAAATATTTATTATTAGTAAAAAATAATACTTTTATTTTATTTGTATATATGTACTTATATTACATACAATTTTTAATCGCTTAATCACCCAATTACTCAATTACCAAATTGCTCAATTGCCCAATCGCTCAATTACCCAATCGCTCAATTACCCAATCGCCCAATCGCCCAATTACCCAATCGTCCAATCACTCAATTACTCAATCGCTCAATCACTCAATTACCCAATCGCTCAATCACTCAATTACCCAATCTTTCAATCACTCAATTACCCAATAGTTCAATCGCAATTATCTCCTAATGGTCAATCGCTTAATTGCTCAATCACTTAATCGTTATTTCTCACATTGCGCATTATTAATCATTCAATGATCCGATTATTGTCAACAGGAGGAAACGTACCTGATCCAAAGTGAATCCCACACATGGTGTGATAAATTAAAATTAATATAAATAATTTCAGTTTTATTTATCGCAATTGATCACACCATGTGTGGGATTCACTTTGGATCGAGTACGTTTCCTCCTGTTATTATTGTCATATAAACCTAATAAAAAAAAAATAAATGGAACTGTAACATCAATATAAATTTATGTAATGCAATTAATAAAATAATAAAAGATAAAAAAAAAAGTTGATACGGATGAATTTGAATTGTAGCATCGGATCGGGTAACTTGGTTATGCCACGAGTAAGTGTCAAGGTCCAGGGATAGAAATAACTTTACTAATCCATCTATTTGTTTTCTTATAAATTCATTAATAACAATTTTCGGCCGAAAGTGAAACTTTGATATGTTACGCGATCTCAAACGGGTTATAAAATTAACTCTCGGTTATGGTTCTGACCTTGATTTACCTATATTCACGGGTTTTAAGAGTCCCATTTAGTAATATTTCTGTTTAGTAAATAAATTAGTTTTAATTGACGACGTTAGTGTCTATTTCGCAAATCAAAATTTAAATTATACTAGATCACAAAAGTAAATTTATACCCGACTTTAAGAGCGAGATTCTTTATTTTTGGTGTTATAAACGGTATTAGAAAACGTCTAGTAGGTAGTTTTTATGTGTCTTTGTAAGATTTTAACTTGATCTTTGCATAAAAATATATTTATTTCTGTAAAAGACAAATGCAAAGTAAACGATTTCGTCAATTTTATATGAAAAAAAAATTTTATCATATGATGTAGATCATTTTAAATTCTCACTTCCCGTGATGATCCCGTGACAAATCGTGTGACTGTTAAGATTTTAAATTCGATACTGTAATCGATTGACGTAGCAACAGTTAAATAAATTACATCATGTCATGATAAATTGTCAGGATAAAATATAAATCTTATTTTTTTCTCTTATTTCACTTTTTCGTTCTTTGCAACTTTTTCTACCCGATAGTCAAATCTCAAGGTTATCGTTTTTATCTCGTAATGTATTCGAAGATTTGCTTTCCACATATCTTAGCAACAAGTCGACTAATAGGCGACGTAAAACCTTTATAACACGTGAAGACTTTGGTTTTTGTTATTAAGGTTTTATAAGGTCCAGCAAATATAATGATAGGGAATGAATGCAAAGGACCGTTATTGGGCAAATTTTCGAATAACTGTAATTTGGCTCAACATTGCAAATACACGAGCCGATTTGCGAGCCAAATTATCGTTATTCAAAAATTTTGCCCAATAATGTATACTTATTCAATTCCGTCTTAGTAGAAAATGGTAGTCTTGAAAATTCCCATAAAAATAATTGTCTTGGCTGATTTTGGATAATACAAAAATACGTTATGTTTATCTACTTCAACCCAGTTCTTAAATAGTTGATTCGGAATTTTTAAGGCTAGGATTAGAATTTTAGTATAATAATTCTGTTCTAATCTAAATAGATTCCGAACCTAGATATTGAAACCGCGAAAGATTTGTTAACCGTTAGTCGCATCACTTAACTCTATATTTTATGATTAAGGATCATGTAATCATTTACCATATTTGCGCGTAATAAGGAGCATCTGTGCGTTATTTTGAGACTCTGCGCGTTATTTCGGGACATACATGCGCGATAATTCGAATCATTTTGGCAAATTCGGACAACTCTGCTTTTATTAATTAATATGTATGTTTAAGGGGGGCGTTATTTTGGGACGCACATAGGCGTTATTTTGAGCCAAAAAAACAACTTTCAAAAATCTTTATTTATTATATATATTTATGTTTTTCATTATACTTTAATACTCTAACGACTGACTATTTATACGTACTATGTTAAACAATTATAATTACTCATGTATATTAAATCGATATAGATATAATTATAATTGTATATTTTAAAAACAATTATTAATTACCAAATGCGAAGAATGATAATATTTCATGCTATATACTCTTATTTTTGGCATATTTATTATCACAACATTTAGGCATCTGTTTTACATATTTTTATACTTCTAAATTTTTTTTTTTTGCACTTTATTTTATTGATTAACTGATTAGTCGTATAGAATTAAAAACATGATCAAGCGGATAATTTAATGATTTATAAAACATTTATTCATTTAATCGCATAAATATATATTTTTTTATTTATCTAAGCAGTTAAATGATTAATGATCCCAAATTCTATCAGAACCTGTTTAAATTCTATTCCCACTTACAATATATATACCAAACAATATAATAAATTTATTATTTAAAATATTAAAAACAGTATTACGCTATATGAATCTTTCTAATGTCTTATTCTAACGTTAACCTAACGTTAGACTAAAATTCACTCTAACTCTAATGCTATCATGTAACAAACGATTTAAAGAATTTTTGCATAACCCATTTTTCAGCAGTGAGAATATTCGTTTTTAGTCCAAAGCCAGACGCGGCCCAACATAATAGAATTGACTATCAAGACCTCAAAACCTGATCGATGCATCCAAAATCGAACTCGAAACACGAACAATTGGCACCAGCGCGTACGACCAAATTTTGAGTCAAAACCTGAAAAAAAATCCAAATAACCCTTATCTATAATGAATAAATTAGTTTGCATTGCATAATGTATAAAATCAAAAGAATTCCCAATAAAATAAAAAATACTTATTTTTTATTACGGAGACTAAAAAATATAGTAGAGCCGAATTCACTATCGAAAGAAAACTAAACAAATTCGTGATTAAAAAACCCACAATATCTAACACAGCAAAAAAGACGTCAAAAAAATGATAAAACTAACGAAACAACAAATATTACCAACTACGACGATTTTAGTAAAGGATGACTCCAGCAAAAGCAAATTCAGAAACGGCGATATCGATAAAGCACCAACAAGTAATAGCATCAGTACATGGCGATATCAACACCAAATAGCTACGTCAACAAACAACAACGACTAAAAAGACATTTTGCTATAAAAAAAACCTGGTTAGTAAAGAAAAAAACATATACACACACAAAAAAACAAAATTACTTATCTGCGTAACTAGGATTTTCTCTTGTTAATCGTAGTTATTCTTTTCTAATTATTAGTATTTTTTTTTACCTGCAAACGTATTAAATTAATAATGCAAGTTAGTCATTGAACTGTCGTTCAATGTCCAGGCCACACCACGAGGAGGTTTGCATTTGTGGCCCAAAAGGAGTTTAAATTGGGAACGTTAATAAAAAAAATTCTAAATTTATAAAAGAAAGGGATTAAGGAATAACGATTTTAAAATGTATATTCGGTTATTTTTCAATTCATTTAACTCGAAATGATAAAATACGATATCGATAATATACAAGTTATCGATAAAGTGATTCGCATTTTTATGGCCTCTGATAGCGAACCAATGGTAAACAAAGAGTGTTATATCGTAAATTGCTACTAAGTGTGAAATGTGGTATCATCATCTCTTAAATCGTCGGACCCGTTTAAAAACGATCCACGAGACTCGTCTATATCACAACTTTTCACATCTTACTAATACTCGGTATGAAATATACTGTCATCATCTCTTAAATCGTTGGATCCAATAAACAATTTATGAGACTCGGGTATATCACACAACCTTTCGTATCGTATTCCTTACGATATAACCCTGCTGGTTTTCAAATGAAAACAGGCCGTAAAAAGGAAAAACTTTGTAAAATTCGCGACTTCTCAAAACCTTTCTCAAGAAATTTTATGCGTGAACGTAGTAGGGAAACTTAGAGCTTAGTTTAAACTACTAAGTTCAGAGGCCCCATCCGTGTTGAAAGGCGTACATCGTCGACAAACCTTAACGCAAAGTTTAAAAATAGATAAAAAGAAAACGATCTTTAAGGGGTAGTTTGTAAAGTGAAAGAGAACACTTAACAAACAAGAAGTTGAAAATGCAATCACATAGGACGACCGATCAATAATTCACCCGGTTAAACCGGAATCATCGAAGCGATCTAAACTTCTCCAAACCTATGTGAAGGTAGGTATAACGAAAAAAAATAATAAACGGAAAAAAGAAATGAATAAAGATCAAAAATGTGAGAAAAATTAGGCTATATATTGATTATCAATCAGATAAACAATGCATCCTATTGGTCGATTGAATTAGGGGGTTGCGATGTGTAGATCAATTTCCTAACAAAGAAATCTAAACAAAAAAAGCGCGTTCATATAGACCAAAAACGTATCACAGCTGTTTGCAAAAAGACGTGGAATGGTGCAGATCACCGTATCACTGCGAGATTTCCAAGATTTCCTTCTTTTTTTAAATCTAACTTGTGATAGTGAAAGATTCTCACTAATTTCCTGGTAGATATAGTATCTTTGGATATACGAAGAGTACTGAATCAAGTTAAAATAAGTTTTAATAATATTTATTTCGAAAATTTCCCAAAATGATCTTAGATGTATAGCGAAAACTATAGTATTTCTTTGAACAATAGTATTTCTTTGATACGATAGTTATTTTAAAAAGCAAAATTTCTTCATGTAAAAGTTTTCATTATTAGATAACCCATAAGTATTAATTATAACGGATTTAATACTGTAATATTTTTATAAATTTATCATTTATGTATGTTATAAGTGGAAACGGAACTTAAATGCATTTGGAATTTCTTAATTTTAGAATAGAATTTATTTTATATAAACCTACACCCAAACACTAAAAATCCAAAGAAATTTCAAATTCACTTAAATTCCGTTCCCACTTACAACATCTACAATCCTGAAATAAGGTGCATGCTAGGTTTTTTAGAAACAAAACTTCATAAACGCGCAAGAGTAAAAATTAATCTACATGAAAAACTGAAAATATTGGCCTTACCAAAAGTAACTTCAATTCTTCTTTGTAGGAAAAAGTTGTTTAAAAAAAAGGTAAAAAAAAAAAAAAAGGTTAAAATTTGATGACGACAGGATTTGAACCTGTGCGGGTAGAACCCACATGACCAAAAAAATTTGTTGGCAATTCCGAGAAAGATTCACACTCCTTAGATCGCTTGGACACGTCGTCATAGGCGGTAAAATTCATCTTTTATTTTGACGAATTTTTCAAAACAGTCAAGTATTAGAATTCTTAAAAGCTTTACTATCCATTCTAAAAGTGTCTAATAGTGCAAGTTCTTTGTATTTGCATGTATTATTTTTTTTTGTCATTTATCCTACGTATTTTTATTTAGATCTATTATAAATAAAATTATCTTGATATGTTGTAAATAGGAATGAAATTTAAGGGATTTAGAATTTCTTAGGATTTTAGAATTAGGATGTAGATTTATATAAAATAAATTTATAATTTTATTAAGAAATTCCAAATTCACAAATTCTGTTCCCACTTATAATATAAATAATAAACTCGTATTTCCTGAATTAAAAACTGATAAATTTACCGTCGTATAAACTCGGAATAACGCCCAGGGGTGTATTTTCAAATTTTGGCCAAAATTAAGCTTAATTCTGGCCAAAATCCAAAATAACGCCCTGGACGTTATATACGATATGTAACTCCAACAACTTTTATATAACACGATTTAAATAATTGTCAGATTAAAATAAAACTTTGCATAGTCTAAAATAGATAATCTATAAAAAAAAAAACAATCTTTGGGGTGTGTCTTTTTAGCATTTTTTTTTTTTGAGGTAGAATATATAAGATAGAAGGATTAAAAAAGAAACTTCAAATTTTATTTATTCTAATTTTAATTCGTGACAATAATTTTACCATAATTGGTTAGTGCTAAAATTTGGTGCTTCTATTTAAATATATAGTATATTGGAGCTGTTACCTATTTCATTGTCTTTTTGCTACGGTTTGTATTATTGGCATATCATTCATTGTATTTTATATCGTCAAAACCTGGTCAATGTATGATCCAGCAATTTTAAGTATATAGATTAACACGGATTTATGATACGTACTAATAACTGTATATATTTATTGTTTATTCCTATTCATCAATTCTTAAGACAATTTAATTATAAACCATGGCCTATTTTGAACTGTTTCATTAGGTTTATCCGTGATTTCTTTAAAATTAAAAGGTATAGCTTTCCCTTTGTTCTTAATTACTTCCTCATAAATCTTGTGGGCATCGGGTAACACTTCAGATAGATATTGTGCCCTAGCATATTCACTCGGGTGTGATGAATAAAACTCTGGTAAATCTTCTAGAGCCATTTGATCTTTATTATTAATTGCTAAGTAAGACCATAATTCTACAGCTTTTCCGGGATGATAACCCGATAAAGCCATTAATTGTAAACCTACAAAATCTGCTTCTTTTTCTTCCTTTTGATTGTATTTCCCTGCTGCATATGCTGATATTAAGTTTTGCGCCATAACATTTATATACTCATTAATAAAGGGACCTAGTGCAGCCAAAAATGGAAACCATAATAAAGTACGAAGCGTGTCTATTTTTTTTTTAATTTAATTGATCAAAGCAAAGGCGAGATATATTTAAGAGGTTAAAACATCATAGACTATAATATTCATAATTAATAAGTAAAACTTTACCTGATAAGATATACATCATTTGATTAAATCCAAGTGTTTCGCCTGAGTGTCTCTGTAAAACATGTCCTATCTCATGAGACAGAATTACAGAAAGAAATTCCTCATCATAATTAATTGCCTTTAGCATTCCTAAAAAGAATCATTTCATGTTTCAGATAAAAAAAAAAAAAAAAAAACTATTTAAAAAGACAATTTACAATCTATATATTTAAATTTACCAGTAAAGATAATAATCTTTCTTGACACGCCAAATGAAAAAGCGTTAACAATACTATCATCATTAACCACATAAACAACAAAAGGTTCCGGTTTCTCAACCACAGCATTTTCCATTACTTTCACATTATCATAATCTGAACCTTCCAACTTGTACGTTCTTAATACCATTAAATCATCGCTTAATCCTTTAACTAGATTATTCACAACATGTTTTACAAAAATAGTTTCAAATCTACCATCATCTAAAATTTTATTCTTGTATTGATCATAATGTAATAAAAATGCCGAATTACAAAGTTCTTTTTCTTCTTCTACTGACATAAATCTAAATCTCCATCGATTTGTATGTGGCGCTTGTTCTAGTCCTGCTAGGAATAAAATTCCAAATCCTGTTAACGGAAAAGCTGTTGATAGGAATAAGAGAATTGTTCTTCTTTTGCCGGTGTTTGGATTCTTGCGTAAAGCGAAAGGAAGGATCGAAAGAAATAAATTACTAAATGCACGAATTATTATTACTGCATTAGCAGTTTTAAATATTGTTAGGAATGCAGGTAAAGCTGGTAGTGCTCGTGTTGGCCGGGTTGCATTAAATTTTCGATGATGTGATAAAATAATTGAATTAGAGAGCTTTAAAGAATTTTTAGGAATTGTAAGTTTGGAAACTTGAAATAATACATTGGAAGTATTTATAATCCGAGGTCTTTCTTTATGGTAATTTCTAGAAAGTGGTTTTATTTCTAGATGTCTTGATATAAATATTCTAGTTTGATGATGTTGGATTGTAGTAAAAACTTTACATATTCTAACATTTTTTAAACTACCGAATCGTTCAATTAACATTGTAATATTAAAGACTTTTATTAAAGACTTAAAAAAACTCAAGGCAGACAAGGATAATGACATTAGTAGCAAAAATTGCAAAACAAATTATATATTTATCCATTTATGTACGTACTACTCTACAAAGTGTTAGTAACACTAAAAATGATCAAACAAATCAAACAAGTGTATTTGGCATAATTTTCATAATTTTGTAAGCAAAATTACAATTTTAATAATGATAAAAGCAAATACAACTGCAATTGACAGAATTTTCTATCTATAATACTCCGATAAATAGGGAATTTTATACGGCGAACGGATACAACTCTAATTAGAAAAACACTGATGACTCAATTCTTAAAATTCCTAAAAAATAATCCTTAAAATACACATGTACATACCCGGAACATTCTCTTCTTCTTCTTTTTTAAACGCTTTAAATTTGTCAATCGGCATAATAGCTCTTGTCACATCCGCATCAAATTGCTTTGATAATTTTGCTGAAAAATAATGACTCCATCGTTCTGTATTCGGTCTGTAAATTACACCAATTGCTCTTTCAAGTAGCGGTTCAGATAATTTTTCAATTAAATCTTTAGAAATTATTTCCTTTTTCAACTCCTCAGGATTAGACGAAGAAGTTATTTTGTCAAAGATTATGAGAAAATTTGGAAATTTAAGATCTTTGCTAATATTATGAAACACGCCTAATTATAAATATTATGAGGAAGATTAGAAAAAAAATTTAAATCTTATTATTTATTTAACATGATATTGTTATTACCTTCATAAGAGTCCTTCCTTCCTGGGACAATTTTCATCAATTCAGGTGGAGTATTCCTGGAAGTACATTATCCACTGTATAAATGACAATTCATGAAATAAACTTAAAATAAATTGCTTACCATTCATGAGCAGCAGTTACTAATGGTTTGAAATATAAAAGTAAATCAAAATTAAACAAAGCTATGTTTAACATAAATTTATATACAAAATAAGAATTTACCAGTCCCCTAAGTTATTCCAAGAATAAGCATTAATATGATAAAAGAATTTTGCTATCCAACAAGATGGCAGATAAAAATTCTTAATTACAGTGTATGTTGTGAATCCAATATTAAAACTTCTATCGCCAAATTGTTCGCGAACTAATTGTCCAACATTTATTTCACCACGAGACATTCCCATATCAGTATTTCGCGCGTCACCCAAATGACTAATCACCAATTTAAATGTTAATTCGTTCATAATTATTATCACACTATAACCGTATCAAGAACTTAAAACCTGTTATGAGCCCAAATAACTGCTTTGGCAGGACGACCATTACAACATTTCGTTAGGTGATCCAATGTTTGATTCAAAGTTCGAACCATATGTGAATCTCTTAAGTTCCATGATTTGACATTTTCAAAGAGCATGAGACGATAATACTCTTCAGCATCTTTGACAACGAGAGAATTTGACTGCAAAGATAGAATTAATAATACACCATATAATGTAATAATAATTGTTGATAATTTATAGAGAATCGTCACAAAACCTCAGCGGCAAATTGATATTCTTCAATTGGTCCAGATTCTTTTAATTGTTTTAACAAATATTCACCCCTTTTTTGACACAAATATTTCAAAACCATTAGTAACTGCTGCTCATGAATGGTAAGCAATTTATTTTAAGTTTATTTCATGAATTGTCATTTAT